CACAAACATGGTTACACAAAATCCAAAACTCCCGAGGACGGATGGCGTAACCGTAGCAAAACCTATGCGTTTTAAAACCAAACCGCAAATGGGGCCTTATGAAAATGAATGTTTCTATGCACAGCAACTTCTGGACTGAACTATACTTGTTATTTAAAATATCTCTATTACGCTCTAGCATTCGCCAAAACGAATTTGTACATACAAACACCGAACATAGCCTAGCTGAATAGGGTGTTGCCTGCTGAGCCATGACAGCAGCAGACAATTCCGCACGACCATAAAGCCTTCACCCGACAGTTATTTTCTAATATTCACAACGCGAGCCACAACAATAGACATGCCATGCCCATCATCCTTACAGACAACTTCGCTTTAAACTGTATTAAGGTCCCATTTACACTGCACAGCAGTTTTATATAAAACGTTAATGATACATATAACAGGCTACATTTTGATGGTGAAATAACCTTTTAAACGATGGCTTTTTATTTCAGTATTCAAACATTAAATAACGAATGCATCAAGTGAAATAACGAATATGCAAAAACACATGTATATAAATATAAAGGACTATTATAATTAGCAAAATGCTGCTCTATAGACAAATACTGCTTGACATTTTAGAAAATGTTTTGCGTATACCCAGTACCGAGAACAAACAAACAAAAGCACATGGCTTGTTAATCAATTTAATCAAGCTCTAGCCATGAATAAAATAATAGACTATTTTATTATTTTAATATTTTAGACGACGGGTTAGTAATTATATTATAAATGGTTATGTTCAGATCAATGAAATAATAACTTTAATAATTCTGCTTTGCATTTTTCTATGCATTACTAACATCACTAAACCATACATTTGTTTTATAAGTTAACCAAATATTTGCAGAGATTCAGCGGGTTTTTTTTTCTGACGCGTCAAATTCAAATACAAAACATACTGAGCCATTAAGTAAAAAAACAAAACAAAACAACAGTTATAGCTACTTTAAAGGAGAACATTGACGTTTTGAAAAAAAAAAACTGAACTGAAACTAAAGTATTAAAAAAACAAACCTGCTAGACTTAATTTATGTCCTGCGGCAAAAATATTTTTATTATAATCTGCTTAAAATAGGTCAAATTATTTTATTTTTTTCTGCTTTTGATGAAGCTGCATTCAACTTAAGCTCAATGTCGGCAATGTCTTTAAATAAATAATATATCTAGGCCTATTTTCATTATTCATTAATTTTCATTATTCGTTTATTATTATCTATAATTGTTGAGACATAAAATGAGATAGTAAACTATAATCAACAACGAAAATTTAAGTAAAAACAGAAATAAAAACATAAATGAAAATGTCTTGTCTTAGTCCTGTCAAAATAACAAACACTGAACATCTCTCTATATTTAGGTTAAAAGACTGCTTTATTTATTTATTTATTTATTCATTTATTTATTTATTTATTTATTTAAGACTACTTATTTGTACTGAATGTTTATGCTTTCATTTTAGTTGCAAAAAGATCAGAAATTGATCTCGCACGCGCAGGGAAAAAAGGCAATTATGCCACACATGACTTGCATCGCTCTCATGCCAAGTTTTGAGGATAAATTCGCATTTAGATGCTGCTTGAAATAAAATAAAACTATCAAAAAGCACATTAAAAACTTTAATAAAAAAATTAAAACATTCATAAAGGAGTATCTTATGGAAAAACACTATGGGCCCTGCTTTCGGTTTTAAAAGAATCAAGCAGCTTTAAAAAATATCTAATTTGCTGAAGAGAAATGACACGAAAAAAAAATAAAATAAAAAGATTAAACATATCGGGACTGTTAAAAGAAAATTCCTCTTTGATATATTCTTTCGACTCCGATACATCAGCTAAGATTATGAATGACGGAGTGTCTCTCCTGCTTCAGCAGCGTGTCCCGCTGGTTAAACGATGAGGCGGAGAGAATGCGCTGCTTAGTGAACCTAACGCGCCATTATTTTAATTCTATATTCGTGAAGAATGAGCCAACCGCATATGCTTAGTCCTGTTGGTCGGGACTCTGCTTTATAACTTAGTTTATTACAATAATCACACTTAGCTTTGCCATCGTTCTTCACATGTTGCCACTCGGCACATCTTGCGCTCCATCTTTAAACAAATGTTTACATTATTGAGGTGCTCTCCGGCGGCGAAGTTTCTGGCAGAGTAGCGAGTGAAAAAATGTGCTTGCAGAAATTGGAATCAAAATTTAAATTATATATAACAAGCATCGTATTCTTTCTAATCCTCGCCCAGTTTTAATACAAGTTGTTTTTATATTTGTGGCTGTGAAGTTTATTAAGAATATATATATAGCCTACTTTATTTTTTTATACTTTAAGTGATCTGCTTGAGGTAGGTCACGTTTATCAATGGTAAGTTTTAGCCTAAGTTTACATCAATAACATAATGTGTATTGTCCTTTACCATACAAAAAAAAAAACAAGAAAAAAAAAACATTATTATACATAGTTGCCTGTAGCCTAAAGGCCGCAAATGCATTAAAAGGCAAGCGCATATCTTAGCCTTGAGTTTGTTCACACTCTGCCTGTATTAACATAAATGTTGTATTTTAATATAGCTTATTTTGATGAATTAGCTCTAACCTTCGACAGTTTTTTCTTCTTTTTCCGCGGTTATGCGGCATTATATTTCACACACATTTGCAAGGTGACTGAATATGAAGTTAAAATACAAAACATACTGAGCCATGAGTAAAAAAACAAAAAACAAAACAAAACAACAGTTATAGCTACTTTAAAGGAGAACATTGACGTTTTGAAAAAAAAATGAACAGAACTGAAACTAAATTATTAAAAATAAACCTGCAAGACTTAATTTATGTCCTGCGGCAAAAATAATTTTATTATACTTTTAGTGATCTGCTTAAGGTAGGTCAATTTATTTTTCTCAGTGTTTCACGTACTGTACGGCAATGTCTTTAAATAAATAATTTATTTAGGCCTATTTTCATTATTCATTTATTTTCATTATTCGTTTATTATTCGTTTATGTACAATTGTTGAGACATAAATAAGATAGTAAAATATAATCAACAACGAAAATGGAAATAAAAACAGAAATAAAACATAAATGAAAATGTCTTGTCTTAGTCCTATCAAAATAGCAAACACTGAACATCTTTCTATATTTAGGCTGCTTTATTTATTTATTTATTTATTTATTTATTTATTTATTTATTTATTTATTTATTTAAGACTACTTATTTGTACTAAATGTTTGTGCTTTCATTTTAGTTGTCTTTTACTTCTTCAATTCTATTTTCCAAAACGAATCCTCTTTGCACTTAAAAAGTTTACAATAAAGCGTGTTAACAAATTTTAAATGATTAATGAAGGAATTATAATGCTTTGACTTATTGTTTAATATCATTTACAAGCACAGTAGCTGTATGATCTATTTCTGTCCGTTCGCATCCCGTCCCTTTGCGCCCCCTGGCGGCTCATTCACAAACTGCGGTCATACACTAAAAACAGAGCGGCACCTATTTCAAACGGCGGCGGTACCAGCCGCGGCGTTAATAGCCACTTTGAACTCTCACCTACTGTATGTTGCTGTAACCTGTTTCATCATTCACTACCTATCACCAATGAAGTTCTATGATGGACTTACTGTACATGTAATGTAAATCAGTGCAATCCTTTTCAAGGTACATTAAAAATACTTTTACATTTTTATTATTGACTTAGAATTTATTAACAAAAACTAGAGTTAGAGTATGTTATATGCTTTATGTTGGGGATAAAGGAGGCTGTTATAACGTAATACAGGCTTTTCTGTAGCCTGATGCAAAGCAGAGTAGAAGACTAAAAGGCTTTATTATGTGAAAACAATCACCCTGAATGTACTTTATACTGCTTAATACATGGCTACTTGCAAAAAAAAGCATAAAAATTTTGCACAAAGCATTTTTTTGACTCGTAATAGTTTATTAATCATTTAATTAACTGTAAAGATGACAGAAACGAAACTGGCTGAATAAAGTGTAGACTGACATACATAATATTCATTTAGACCACGCCAAACAGTCAACAACAGTCAAAAATAGTGGCCTGGCAGACAAGAAGATACACATGAATGTGGATGTAAGTATGTGCGTTTGAAGGTATTCACTGATGGTTAAATGCCCGGATAAGCCTGTGTTATTTGGCATTAGTTATCTGGGGATAACATACTATGGAATGTCGTGACTGACCAGTGAGAACCGTTTTTTTCAGACTACCATGTAATAAATAAATACACAGTGGGACACTTTGGATGATTAGATAAATTGCCTAGATTTGAGGATGTTGATTGGCTTTTTGTGTTTTCAATATGTTCATAGAAATTGGCTAAACAGCACTGGTATTTTTTTTTTAATAACTCACTTAAAAAAATAACACATTTGCAGAATGAAGCAGAGTTGCATGTCTGATGAATCATGACAATAATTGATTCAAAATTCATCATACACAATGCTTATCTATCTATCTATCTATCTATCTATCTATCTATCTATCTATCTATCTATCTATCTATCTATCTATCTATCTATCTATCTATCTATCTATCTATCTATCTATCTATCTATCTATCTATCTATCTATCTATCTATCTATCTATCGGACATTCTATCTATCTATCTATCTATCTATCTATCTATCTATCTATCTATCTATCTATCTATCTATCTATCTATCTATCTATCTATCTATCTGTCTATCTATCTATCTATCTATCTATCTATCTATCTATCTATCTATCTATCTATCTATCTATCTATCTATCTATCTATCTATCTATCTATCTATCTATCGGACATTTTTTGGGGGGTGCAGACCTGCACTGGCAATTTTGCCGTGTTCATATATGCTCATACGCGTTTAATGTTCATATTAATTTTTACTCAGTTGTAAAAATTGCACAGCTGCAACTTTAAGACAGACGCGAACTCCCCCTCTTTTTCTTGAACAATGGTCTCTACCAGCCACCGCTGCTCTCGCCGCTGAATCCGTAACGTGCCATTTTATTACTAATGGGCATATCTGGAAATCAAAATGTCATCGATACAAGGGACAGTATCGCGTTTCTGAGGATGCCAGCGGTGGATATTCATACGGGTTTCGCCGGAGTAGTGCTGATTTTGGCCAGTGAAGCTTCCTTGTAGTGAATCGGATGATTGGAGCAGCTGTGCGCTCGCGCTTAGATTGCAGCTGTCATTGATATTGAACAGTGAGTATATATAACAACACGAACAACACAAACACAACCGGCATTGTGTGTAACATATGCGTAAATACGGGGTTCATTGTGCACCATTGTCAAGGTGATTCGGAAATGCCCCTTTAGTGAAGGGAAACTTCCAACAGATGTGCTGTAGTAACAGAGATCAATGCGTGAATGAATGAATGGATGCATGAATGAATGCTTGTATATTATGTGTGAATCTTTAATATATCATACAAGGAAAAGGTGCATAGATCAATGGAAGACACTGACAGAGAAAGGATAGAGAGAGAGGAGGGAGGGAGAGAGAGAGGCAAAGACAGGCATGATGTAATGCGCTTGAGACAATGGTTGAGGATTCTCTCCAACTAGACTCACAGGAGTGGAAAAGGCTGTTTTTTGAAAGAGATGAGATCACTTTTACATGCCGGCTTGGTAGGTGTCGTAGGAATGTCATGGGAATTGTTTCTACATATCCCGCTTGCCTGTGGCCACTGGTCCGGCTGTAATGGACCTTATTCACATGTGCTGATGGTGGTCTGAGGGAATGTGATGCTGATGTACAAACGCTTGGCTGTTCAGTCAAACAAAGAGTGTTTGAAATTGAAATTTGTAGAGTTGATTAACATGCTTCCTCCTGACATGAATACAAACATCAGTTGTAATGCTCATGTGAATTTTTACTGTCAATTGGAAAAACCTCCATGCCTATGGTTCTCTGTATGATTATTATAAGTATAAAATACATATATTTCTTAAAATCCAAGATTTAAAAAAATGCATTCACTGCGAATGATTGATAAATTAAACACACTCAGATTGAGTCGTTTTGATATACTAGTTTGAAATGTGCCTGGTGAAAGCCATTATTGGGTCATGTTGATGTAGAATTGTGCTGTTCTTGGCTCTAATAGTCCATCAGACAGGCTGAGAATAGGACGGCCTTCGTGTCCCACTGACCCTGTTGGTTGTGCTGGAGTGTAAAATCTACCTCAGCCATTTTTTACTGTATTTTATCAAATCTATAGCTGGTTTGTTTGACCTTGGTTGGGGGTGTGTGGTGTAAAAAATCTTTTTCACACCCCTCAATTTGAGGAGGGTGGTTGTAGGTTATATCAATGAAAAAAAGAATGTGTTGAGGCCACTAAAATTTGAAGACCAGATCCCAATAATCAAAAGCATAAGGTATTATATTATTATTAATAGCAATTAAATGTATTTAATATGATGTTCTATATAATTGTATAAAACACATTTGAGGATGCCTCTATTGTCATTAAATCTGTCACAAAAAATCTAATTTAAATGTCAAAATATTAAAATAATAATATTAATTTAACATATTTAGAATGTTTTGTAATATATATGTAATGTACAGTAAGTGAATAAAGGCATATGAAGTGAATGATAAATATAATAACATAATATCTAAGATTGGTCAGTCGAGTCTAGTCTAAGAGCTGGCCTTAAAATCTTATTTAAATCTAAAAAAAATTAAAAATCAAGAATAAATATGCTTTGCATTCTAATTAAATATAATTCTGTCAGATAATCAATACATTTTTTTTAAGATCACACACTGGAGTCCAGTCTAATACGAGATAAAAAATTTATATTAAAATGTTCCTTTTCTATATAAACTTTATTAATTAATTGATTTTCCATCGGCTTAGTCCCTTTATTAATCAGGGGTCACCACAGCGGACTGTACTGCCAACTTATCAGCATATGTTTTACGCAACAGATACCCTTCCAGTCGCAACCCAGCACTGGGAAACACCCATACACTCTTGCATTCACGCACATACACTACGGCCAATTTAGCTTACCCAATTCACCTATAGCACATGTCTTTGGACTGTAGGGTAAACCAGGGCATGGTTGCACCAGCTGATCGTAAGTTTACATTCCGTAAACTGGAATGTAAAGTCCACCCTAGAGGCTTAGTATCTACTAGCTAGTTTGTAACTAAATTTGTTCTCATTTCGGTTGCACCATATGCCCTTAAGGCAAACTGTAGTTAGTAAGTCATAAGCTCTCCGTAAAGTCATGCGCATAGAATGATATATCCAATAAAAAGCATTTAAATCATTAAACTGCTTTAAAATTCTGCAACTAATACATCACTATATAACTGTCCTATAAAAAATAAAATATAAATAAAATTTTTATTGCACATTCAATTACAGTGAGTCATTAGTAACAGATAACGCACACGTCTGCATCGAGAGCCGTGAATACAGCAAAATTTAATGCACACGAAGTTATTAAAACATTAAACTTGAATTATTTTATATCCTACACATGAGCAGGAAGAAAAACTTAATTATGAAGAAATTCTCATTTTAATTGATGGATACAATAAACACATAACATTCCTTGAAAGAAAATTAACGTTCTTTCATAAACCGAAAAAAAAGTGAGATTTGGGAGAAAAATAAGGCTGTGATCAATAATATCATTATTATTATCATCGCAAGCTCCTCAATGTAAACTAATCTCGCCGTTATCTCTTTTCTTCCGTTATACATGGGCGGATGCTGCCGCAAATATTTAGTTGGAACGTAGCGATACGTTTAAACTAAGTTTATTGTGTAACACATAAGAATGTTCAGTAATGTGTAAGTTGTAACTTAGTGTCCCTTAAGTCACAACTAGGCTACGTTTACACTTACGCACAACTGGTGCAACCGGCATCAGAGCACCCGGAGGAAACCCACGCGAACACGGGTAGAACATGCAAACTCCACACAGAAACGCCATCTGACCCAGCCGGGGCTTGATACCGCCACCTTCTTGCTGTAAGGTGACCATGCTAACCGAGCCACCAAGTCGCCTATATAATCTTTAAATAGGATGTATTTATACAGAATAAATGTTTAGCATCACACAAGTCACCCATCAAGTCAGAATAAATGTGGGCCTCTAGTGTTGTGATCATGTGCAGTTCATGCATGTATGCATGTTTTTTCAGAAGTTTGCAATACAATTTCACCTCTAAGGAAACACTACTTATTTCACTGTGGGCTCTCAGTATTATGCACCTTGTATATCACATGCAATCATTATAGTAATCATTTGCGTGGTTGACGATTTTATGAGCCCATCATCCCATCATTCTTGCCTTGTCTTTTATCACTTGAGAAACCCACAGATTTCACTGAACTCCCTCACCTCAGCCCTCCCCTTCCTCTCATTCTGTACCTCTCTCTTCCTCTCCCTCCCCCTCAGCCATCCATTCATTCATTCAGACAGCGTGTGTGGAATATGATCGCTCTTGTTGTCATCAGTGGGGCTTTTACTCTGGGCATTGCCTTGTGCTCCACTCAATACTCTGATTGAAATGTGGGTTTTAAAATACAGCACTCTCTCACCAAATGTGCCATACAGCAGTCTTGGGTTCGGGCCCATCTGCGTTAAATATCAGGATGTGCTGCCTATTATCCGCAAAATACCCTGTGCCCTTGACTTTTTGATCAAATGCGAGCTGCATTGTATTAACAGTCAATAATGCACATTCCTTTGTTCATTTATTCAGTCCTGCCCACTTGCTCAGACCATCACTGTTCACAAACTCCCTGCTTGCATCTTGGTACAGTCCGTTATTGGATTGTTTGACTCTGTTTGCTCATTAACCAATCATGAAGGACTTGATGAGGAAGATTTATTCTCACTGCTCACATTATTAGATACATGTTGCCAGAAACCCAGTTTGTCTTCAGAACTGCCTTAATTTTTTGGTAGCATAGAGTAGCATAGAAATATCCGGAGAGCTTTTGGTCCATATTGAGAAATTTAAAGTGCAAAAAGGAACCAAAACGCATCAAAACATTCTTTATAACTTCAGTGGTTCAACTGTAAATATATTAAACTCCAAGAACTTTTGTGCACTCAATAACCGAAAAATTTTAATCTTCTCTCCTGCATCAGCTGGTGAGAGTGAATGTTTACTACAGGCAGTATGACGTATTGCTTTTTAATCAGCAGCGCATCATGCAAGCAACATATCAACCTTAGTAAACCCATATTCTGATCGGGTATATAAGACCACATTCTTTTTTACAGTTTTTTACCTCACACAGGTGTTCTGGGAGCTACATATGATTACAGTTGAACCACTGAAGTCACTAGGAATTTGTTGAAGTTTTTGTTTCCATTTCTGGAGCGTTGCTATGGCTGCACGATACTGGAAAAATCAGACAACGCAATATTTAGCTTTTTTTGTGATATGTATTGTGATATAAATACAGTTCCCAGGTGGATTGAAAGCTTTATATGGAAGGAATTCATTAATTTAGAGTGACTGAAATGATTATGTAGGGGAGTCAATCATGCATGAAATAGTAAACATATTACAAGCATAGATAAATATAGAGCAATGAAAAAATTAAATAAACAGCATTTTATTTATTGTGTAGTAAAACGGTATCAAAGGAACACTCCATGCTGTTTTGAAAAAGAGTCATTTTACAACTCTCCTAGAGTTAAACAGTTGACATGAACCATATTTGAATCTATTTAGATGATTTCTTGTTCTGGTGAGATCACTTGTTGTGGATTTGGTCATTTACATTTCATTCAAATCTTTCTATTTATTTTCTTATTTTGAATTTCCAAAAGATGTGCGAGCTCTTTTAGTGCAAGATTACTTCAACGCCGGTGTTACAGAAAAAGAGACAGGAAGTCATTTTTACCAACAGTGGTGAGATTGTATAACCAAAGTCATACTATGAATTATGCTGAACTGTAATAGAATTAGATATGGACAAGTGTCTACTTGTTGTTTGCATCTAAGGTGAGCAGCATGAATATCATTTTATCATTGTTTATATATATATATATATATATATATATATATATATATATATATATATATATATATATATATATATATATATATATATATTGTTTATTTTATCTAGTATGGAGAGCTCTGCTGTGACGTTAATTTTCTCTTCGAAAAACCAAAAACTGACAATATATAGTGTGCACTGTATCAATCTATT